TTTGGGGGGGGGGTTTTTTTTAGGAAAAAGAGAGGGAAGAAAAAAATTTTTTTTTTTTTTTTTTCCCCCCCCCCCCCCCCCCCCCCCCCGCGCGCGCTCTCTTCCGTTTGTGCCTGTTCAGATGAAGGACCTAGAGGGCGAACGGCGCACGACTCTTCGTGAGTTCATGCTCTCCGCTAACCATGCGATCGGTGACAACTGGAAGAAGATGTGCACGCTGTCCGGTCCGGCCAACGACGCCGCTAAGGCGGTGGATGCCAGCAGGGGCGCCGTGGATCAGGAGGTCCACTCCCTGGCGGCCGTGCGGATGGAAGAGAAGGTGTTCGTGCTGTCGTCCACGTGTATCTCAATGATTGGTCTATTCGCTTGCGGCGTTTTTGGTGGAAAGTGTTTTGTCTCGCAGTTGGTTGTTTCTCGGGCGTTTCAAATTCTTTTGTGCGTTGGTTGTATTTTTTGCTGGGTTTGGCTGTTTATTCGCGTAGAGGATCTCTAACAACTGTCCCGCAAACGCGACACCCACGACTTTAGAGACGTTGAATAGATGCTGTTACTAAACATGCGTATAACGTCCCTCCAATTTCTCTCTATTTCACGCTCTTGGTGGGATAGCGTAATAGCGTCTACGCTCAAGGCCGTACGTCCTGCCAGACATCGCGTTTGTTTCGCCTCCGTTTGCTTCATAGCCCGTCTTGTCGTCAACTATTTAACTCCCTGATCGCAGTTTCCTGCGCAACTTGCTTCCTTTGTTCTTCGACCGCTCCCGTGTCCTATCGCTCTACCCCCGTTGCCCCTTGTTGCCTTCTTCCTCAGCAAGTCTGGCAGCAAGCTCCGATTCACACTTTTTCGTCTCACATTGCCCACGTTGTCCTATTTCCTATTCCTGTTACGCCGTGGGATCGCCGTCCATTCGTCGCACCTTCTGCGTTGCACAGAAGCACGACAGCTCTAAGGAACACATCCTGGCGAACACGACCCACATCGTCCGCGCAGACCCGGCTCCCGCTGACGACTCCTTCATCGAGACTCTGTCGGTAAGGTAGATTTGCCAATCGACCCGTCTTGCGGTCAGTCGGGTGTGGTCGGACGACTCGCTACGGTTTCTCATGATGGGCGTTTTTTGTGATGTCTTTTTTTGAAGGTGTTTATTTTGTGTATTACAAACGATGACACTGCCGGGATGTGTGAGGGTGTGAGCCGTCCCTTTATCTCCCGCTTGCATGGATGTGTGTGTGTTTTCGTGCTATTTATTATGGCGGCAGTCTCCCATTTTTCATGGTGCGACATATAAATTCTATTTTTTTCAGTGTATACACTTTTCAGTGTATGTAGAGTACTACGCTTTTCAGTGTATTTTTCAGGGTACACCTCGGGAAAATTCCCGCCGTTTTTTTCCCGCCGTGGTGGGCGGTCCCGGTACTGGCGGGAATTACCGCCACATTCGGTGGTACCGGGAACCGCCGAAGGCGGTACCGCCGAAAAACGAAAAACCGCCGACCGCCTAAAAAGTACCGCCAAAAAACGAAGTACCGGGAACCGCCTAAAAAGAACCGCCATATTGCAGTACCGCCGAAAAAGTACCGCCGTACTGCAGTACCGCCAAAATGGTACCGCCAAAACACGAAGTACCGGGAACCGCCAAAAGAGAACCGCCATATTGCAGTACCGCCGAATAAATACCGCCGTACTGCAGTACCGCCAAAATCGTACCGCCATACTACGGTTTTGCCCTCTAAAGTAGCATAGGGCACTAACTTCAACGCCATGTCTCGCGCAGAACAGTGGTTCGAGTCCAACTGGCGTGCGTCTTTGTTCACATTTATTCTTTGTTCTTGTTCTCTTTCGTCATACATATATATATATATATTTTTTTTTTGGTTCTGCCTTGTTCCTTTCGGCGGAACCTCTTTCATCTGTCGCCGATCGTCAGCTGTTCGAACCAGCGCTTTAAATAGTCGCGAAGCGGCTGTTGCGGGGCCGCCAGGCTCCCGCAATAACAAGCCGCAGGCGTGTTGCCGGAGGCGATTTTTTTTGGATATTTGCTTGGTTTTGAAAGGAAATTACGTCAAAAATAGTGTTGTTATTTAATAATGGCGAGAAAAAGGGCCCCAAAAATTTTTTTTAGCCTACGGCGAAATGGACCCCCCCCCAAAAAATATTTCGCCTACGGCGAACGTGTTGCGGGCTAAATTTTTTCGTTGCGGCAAGCCGCAATATCCATCCAATTGTTGCGCTTCCGCAACTCCGCAACACCTGTTTAAAGCGCTGGTTCGAACACACACATCACACACGCAGCAGTTGCCCCAGCGCCCAGCAGAGCAATGAGCGCGTTAGAGGGGAATCCCGGTGCTACTAGTAGTGTAGGAGATGGGTCTGCTGCTTTGTCGGTGGCGCGTGCTGCCGGTGATTCTGTGGACGGGAGCGATTCTGTGGATGTGGAATCGGTGGCTACGAGGGAACTAGAGCTGCAATCCTCAAGCGAGTCTCGCACCATGCATGGTAGATGCGGGCCGCGGCCAGTCAATTTGCCATATTTCAGTACCGCCACCAAAAAACCGCCATATTTGGCAGTACCGGGAACCGCCGAAGGCGGTACCGCCATATTTCAGTACCGTCAGAAAAATACCGCCGTATTTGGCAGTACCGGGAACCGCCTAAAAAAACCCGCCATATTGACGTACCGCCAAAAAAGTACCGCCATTATTGGCAGTACCGGGAACCGCCAAAGGCGGTACCGCCGGAAAACGAAATACCGCCAACCGCGAAAAAAGTACCGCCACATTGACGTACCGCCCCGCCTGGATCCGCCTAAAAAACTAGTACCGAGGTGTACCCTGGTATTTTTCGTACAGCCACAACCACCCAGGGCCACACTGGAAGGGGTAAACACCATGTGTGCTCCTGCGTTTTTTATGTAACGACGTTGTTCTTGCGCCGAGTGTAGAGAGCGTCCCGCTCTGCATGCACGGCCCTCTCTTTCGTCATCTGCACGTGGCACGAAATTGACCACGCTGCTCGTTCCTCTGGTTTGTCGAACGCAAGGCGCCTCTGGAGTCGCCCCTGGTGCGGAGCATGATGATGATCGAAAGGAGAGAAGGGAAGGCGATCGGCAGCAAGTACCACGCCGGGTAAGTGGATAAATAACAAGCCGCCATTGGCACGCGCTAAGGTCTAGTTTTGTCTTTGTGTAGCATACTACCTGTGTTGGGTTCGGGAGGAAAACCGGAATATATGATATGTTCGTGGTGAAAAGTTCGTGAATGGACACTATTGGTGAGCGGTTGAGCCGACGCGCATCAATAGGCAGGTAGGTGGGTGATGGTCTGTTCATCACTAGCACCGGCACGCGGGTTCTCTTTTCCGCTCTCAGCAGCCTAGTATTTGTTTGTTCTCTACGCTGCTTGAGCGACCGACCGCCTCGGCTGCCATTGCACGTCGTCGTGCCGTTGCAATGCAAGCTGATGGCTCGTTTCGTGTGACCATGCCGTAACCTGTGCGTCAAAGGGCCCCTCCGTATGCTCTTGTGTTTGGCTTCCGTCTGCCTGCAGTACCTTCTTGGTCAGCGCTCATCGGTAGGGCATAGTTCAGGTTTAGTTTCACTTTCGTGTGTGATGTGTATGTCGTTCTTGGTGGCATCGACCTACTGTATCCAACGACTTTTTTCGACCATTCTGTGTATTGGGCGACTCTTCTTGCACTGCTGTGTGCATGTTCCGTGATGCTTTGGACACGGGCAGACTGATGGTGCTGTCGTGGGACGGCTTCCTCCACTTCTTCGACATCCCTTCCTCCTCCACCGTCAAGAAAGACGCCTCTGCTTCCGCAGCTTTCCAGGAGATTTCCCCCTCCATCTCGGTGAGATTTTTTTCTTGTGGAGTCCCGTGTGTTAATGATGAGACCTTTTTGGTGCTGGATCTAAATGTCTTTACAAACGGCTCTTCTTTTCAGCAGGTCCGAGGCCGTTGTAGAAAAAAATGTCGCCGAGAGTGACCGGCAGACATTGAATGACGGCATCCCGCATGCTCTGCCTGCTTCGATGGCGGCGCTTGCCAAGGGTTCCTCTTTTCGTCTTCTGACACTGCTTCGGAATATTATAGAAGCAGTCCCGATTGCTCGGCGACGTGCCGTGGCGAAACAGAGTCCCTGACAGATACATACCCCCCCCCAGTTTCAAGCACCCAAGCTATTCACCCCTACGAACCTTCCCACGTCCATTGGCTACCCCCCGGTTCCCCTGCCTTCTAGATATCCACAAATCCGAAATTTGTCCTTCTTACCCTTGACTTGTCGTCGTTGCCCGTTTGTCCTCCGCGCTGTCCTTGGCGAACTGCCCATGGTATGAACTTCTTGTGATGCCGTCCACGGGCGAATTTTAGCTGGACGACCTCCTGGCGAACAAGAAAGACCTGGACGAGGTGCTCATGTTCAAGAGCACTCACACGCTCCGGCTGGACGAGTCCTCCACCGTGGAGGCCAAGTCCAGCCACAAGAGCCACAAGATTGAGGTGCGTGTTGTATGTAGTATGGCTGAAAAGAAGAAGCGCGACAGTAAGTTTTTTTCTACCTCCTGCTGTTGTTCGCGTCGTTGCTGATGTGCGAAGACTTGGACATTTTCCCTTCCTGTGGTATTGTCTCATACGGGTAGTCATATCTATGGCTTTGTATCACGCTTGGGGCAATCGCTGCCGTTATCGCACGAGTTTCTCTACGACCCTTGTTGCTTGTACAATCCACCCTTGACACCTCTTGGTCTACCCCTCATTTTTCTTGAGTTTTTCTGTTTTTTCTGTGTGGTTGACTACCCCAACTGCTGGTTAACGCCCCCCGCACGCAGGTAAAGGGCAAGATGAATATCACCTCCATTAAGAGGCACTTCGGGTCTAGCAGCAAGACGGTCACCTTCCGAACGGCCACCGAGGCGGAGATGAACAACACAGTCGAGGAGATCACGGACTGTATCTACACCAGGGGCGGCATGCAGACCGCTTTGGTAAGCAAGCAATTTTGTATTTGCGCTTGAGGGATGCTTGCGTTGTTGGTCATGTGCGTGAATGTTGGTGATGCTTTTTGGTGTTGATGTGTGTGTGATGATCTCGGTGATGCGTGTGTGATGATCTCGGTGATGTGTGTGTGATGATCTCGGTGATGCTTTGTGTGATGATCTCGGTGATGCTTTGTGTGTGATGATCTCGGTGATGCTGTGTGTGATGATCTCGGTGATATGTGTGTGATGATCTCGGTGATGTTTGTGTGATGATCTCGGTGATGCTGTGTGTGATGATCTCGGTGATGTGTGTGTGATGATCTCGGTGATGCTGTGTGTGATGATCTCGGTGGTGCGTGTATGATGGTCTCGGTGATGTGTGTATGGTGCTTGTGATGTTGACGTTTGGTGCGGGTCATACCTTCAGTGTTGTTGGCGGTGATGCCCGTGATGGGTGTGGTGCTTGTGCACTTGAGGTTGGTGTGGGCGAGACGCTTGTGATGCCGGTATTGGGAGTTATTTTGATGTCGATGTTTTGATGTTGGTGTTTGTGACTCAGTGATGTTGTTAATGTGTTCGCAGAGGCTGACCTTGTCGTTGTGCTTGATTGTTTGCGTGCTCCAATATTTAGAGCTGTGTCTGCCTATTCGTGGCCCTGACATCTAGGAACACCTCTTCACACATGCGCCCCATTTCTCTCTCACTACTTTTTTTTTTTTCCTGGTGTATTTGCACCCGTCCAGACCGGGCGGATGAGCACGGACAGCCGGTCTAGCTTCGGCAGCAGCTTCAACTCCACCGGGTCTGGTTCCACGAAATTGGTGAGAGTCCGCCCGCAGTTTTTTTTTTTTGTGTCTTGTCGCCATCTTTGAGCGCACCCGATCGTGACGTACGTGACGGCGGGGCGTCTCGTACCACAACGCTGACTTGCTTGAAGTCACCTCACCACACCGTAGACACGTGGCTTAGCCTTGCTAGCACGGACTGTGGAGATTTCGTAGGTGTTTAGTACCTTGAAGGGGTGGGTGCGATATGGCGGGTATAGCTTTGTTTTTTGGGTGTTGCCAAACGACACCGTTTCTGCGTGGCCGTGTGGATCAATGCCTGCCTTGGTTCGTTGGTAGATGTTTTTGCGCTCCGGCGACTGTGCGCCGGAATCAGGAACAGCCTCTCGAGAGAAGAACCCTTTTCTCCAACTGCCGCTTGCTATATCGTCGGCTCACTTCCAACTAGACCGGGGTTCGGTAGGTAGTCAGGGTCACACTGGTCTCGCGGGAGGAGATGACGTTGCTTGCCATTGCAATGCTGCTCCCTTCACCCCGATGTGAGGGCAGCGGTCTCAACGCTGTAACCCAGGCTACAAAGAAGGGGTGGTATACCGCCTGCCTCTCTTGGGCTCCCCTCGCAATTTGGTTTTCCCATCCACTCGACGCGTTGCACACCCCCCACGAGTACGGGATAAAACCGTTTCATCTATCACCGCTGTTGCGCCCCCTAACCCTGCCGTTGCTTGTTGCCAACTGCATATGTTCTCCTCTGTGCAGCCGCCCAAAGAACCGGAACCAGCGCCGGCTGCCCCGGCGCCCACTCCGGCCCCCTCGTCAACCGTAGCGCCGCCCGCCGCCGAACCCGCCGCCGCTGACCCTGCCCCGCCCGTCAAGAAGCCCGCCCACGCCGCCGCCGCCGCCCCCGCCGCAGCCGCTGCCCCCACCGCGACGCCCACCGCGGAACCGACGAAGAGCCCGGCAGCCGTCCCTGCGGCGGAACCCGCTGCCCCGGCGGCACCGGCCCCGGCGGCGCCAGCGGCGACGACCGGCGCCGGAGAGGCGTCTTCGGAGGCGCCGCCGCCGCCGGCAGCGGCGGCAGCAGAACCCGTTGCGAAGGCCGTGTGATCGCGAAGGGTCTTCGTTGCGACAAGCTTGACGCGACGAGCTAGGATTGGTGTGGTAGGAGATTTTGTTCTGTTTTGAAAATCTCGATTCTCAGGGCGACGCGATGTTAGTGAAAAGCATGCCGTGTGTGGCGCGTGAGCTCGGGAGGGGGCTACGGCTTGATGTCTGCCCCCTGGGGTGGCCAGGACTTTTTTTTTGTCTGCGACCTTGCGTGGCGTGTTTGTTTGGCGCGGTTGTGTGTGTGTGTGGTTGTACGAGAGCACCCGAGGAGCGAGCGTCGTTCTGTATCGCCCTTTCTTGTGAAGCGCGATGTTGCGGGAATATTGTTTTAGTTTTCCCTAGGCGCTAGCAAGCCACGCCGCGCGGGCGTCGGTCGCTCGCACGATTTTCTGCCCATGGCCATGTGTTGCAAGCATCCGCAAATCTCGTGCAAAGAAACGTTGCACGCAGTATCTCCGAGGCTCCTTGTTCTCGTCGCCTGCCCATTGAAGCATGTGGAAGACTTGCGGTAGTCACATTTTGAGAAAAACGGCCCCGGCATGCGCGTCGGCACCGGCATCGCCCCTGTTATTGCTCGGCGAGGGGAGGGATGAAGTTCTGATGTTTGACGTACGTACTGTAGTTCTCTTTCGTAGCAAGGCGAAACGATGGCAAGTCGGGCGGAGTCTTCCGCAGGGCCAGGTATAGAAAGTCAAGGTGGCACACTTGGTCTTGTGGTTTATACCATCTGGACTCTGTCGCTGCTCGTCTGCTGTTGCGCATGGGGGCGCGTTTTCTGTGCGGTTGTTGAGTAGTATTTTTTGAAGGTTGTGCGCGGCTTGCTGCCGATCTCGGGCTGCATGGTCGATATCGATGCTCGGTCCAACTTCATACATGTCCAACGTTGTGAGTGCTCCTTCGCAAGGTTGTAGACTGGACACATCCATTTGCCGGCTTTCACAGATAAATCTGTTTGCACGTTTCTTCAGTGTGATGCATACAGTACATCTGGCGTCATCTATCGTACCAAAGTTGTAAGCGGTAGATCCAATTTGATTTTGAAGTCTTCCTCCTGTAGGTAACCCTTGCGGTTGCAAAGATAAATCGGTGTTTTAGGCCATCGCCAAGTATTGCATGTCTGCAAGTTGATTTTGTAGCGATATTTTCGAAGATTAGTAACATAAAGATACGTAATCGCTTTCACACCGTGTCTGGCTGGTGCTTCGCGCTTGGTGTTCCCCGGGACAACATGTCCGACGCCACGATACCCACGTTCAGGAGCTTCGCCCTGATGAGATCCACTCCATGGAGCGGTTCAGTTGGTACCCTTGTAGAACATTCGGGCTCTAGGTTGAGGGTTCCGATCGCTCAGGAGTGAAAGACTGACTCGCGCGCGCATATCAAGCTAAGGCGGCGCGCAGTTGCGTACACACACAGCAGAGGGAAGGGGCTGCTGAACCCATTCCTCGTTAATTTTGAAGGCAACCACCAGGAGCTGCAAGACGCCCGACTGGCGGCGGCAATTTTGTTCCGAAGACACAGGACGAAAATATCAATGGGTGAGTGATTTGCGGTCGAAGCGCATCGTGTCAACGGGCGGCTCGTTTTTGTAATCGACGATACTACAATACTCATACAATGTAGTTCATTTCTTGAGCGTTCATCATATAGCAGTATGTTCGGGAGCCAGATATCTATTTTGTGACTGCCTTTCGTCGGCTACCCTCATGCTCATAGCATGCGCACTGCGGAATGACTGCCCGCCGCAAAGAGAGGAGTAGAGAGAGCTAGCATGCAGACGGGCAGAGAGGGGCATGGCGAGCGCCATGGAGCACATGGACGTTCACGTGCGGGATGTGCACAAAGCAACGGGACCATGCCGACCTTGGAGAAGCGCCTTGAAGAAGCGCCTGCTGTGACACACGAGTCCGACGTTTGGCTGCTGCATGGCCCTCGATGCCCGGGCAAAAGAGCGCTGCTGTAATCGACGCAGAATAGCTTTTCTTCTTGCACGGCCGAAGGCCTTACAAGTACAGGGAGCCAAGAGAGAGCCGGTGTGAAGTCGAAGGTGCTCACTAATGATACTGCTATCTGCGTGTCCCCCTGGTCTCCCACCTAAGCCGCATCGACAGACACACAGCCGACTGCGCTCTACGCCGTCGCCATGGACACCAATGCCGAGAACGCTGGAGGCGACTCAAGTTCTGGTTGGACCCAAGCTTTTGCTCCCAGGGCCACCCTCCACCCGGTGCGCATACCTGCTGTTCTTGTTGGAGGGGATGTATGCCTTGTGAATTGGCCAATTTCGAACCGCAGATGGTTGTTGTATCTCAGAGAGGAACACGGGTACATAATTGTGCAAGTGAAGGGATGCCTTTCGGCAGTCCAATGAGCCACACACCTATATGTGTGGTATTGCAATTGACCGTCCCAATTCGTCGCGTCCGATTGCGTTCATGGCCAGCCGTACCGTAGGAGGTTGCATAAGATATCACACCCCCTGGCCCGATGTTCGAAGCTCGATTACTTGGCAAGAATGGCGGCGTCGGAACGGCATCGTCGAGAGCTTTCCGGACGAATCTTATGATTCCAGCATCCTCTTCGTCGTGGAGTACTGTAGGGAAGCTTTGAAAATCGTCCCAGGGGGTGTGGTATCTGATGCAACCTACGGTAGGCAGTGAAGGTACTGCCAGCAGTAGAGCAACCCCATCCGGCCACCCAGGATTCACCATTGCATAGCTCGCGAACGGCAAGTTCATAGGTGGATCGATCCAATCATGCCGACAAAAATTCGAAGCCCGCGTGTGATACCACCCAGCTTGTGCTGAAGTCTATCAACCCTCCAGATTTCACTCAATCGACGCCGTCTACTGCTGTGTATCTCTCATGGGTCGTCTCCCATCGGATCCCTGCCCCCCACAGCCCCACGAGATTCATGGTGGTACTAGCCCTAGAGGGCGGTGATGTCTTTTGCCCGGAGTCCCCCTAACTCCTCCTTGTGTGCACCTCCTCAGAGTCGTGCCACCCTTAGGCGGTTAGCCGGGTCATTCCTCCTCCGTAAGAGCACAACAATTGCAAAATTCAACAATTTTGTCCATCAATTGTTCCCGGGGCGTGAGGTATACCTCACACATCTGTTCCATATGACTATAATCTAACGGAGTGAAGGCCGTGTCGATAGTGGATTGCGTCAAGGGGTTTCTCGGCATTATGAACAGCAGCGATTCTTCTCGTGAATTGTTCAACTATCGTCGGTCCATTCACTCACCCGGCTATCCCAGACATCACAACAACACCACCGCCCTCCGCACGGCCTCTCTGTTCGCTATTATTTTCACTCAGACCACACCGCTGAGGGGTGCCGTTGGAGACAAGCATCAAGGTCCTCTGTCCCCCTTCGCGCTGTTTTCGGAGGAGAAGGTCCAACTCAGGTGCACAACACCTCGTAGGGCTTTTACCCACACACGCTGCTGTAGGTGGTTTATTTTGGACATATTCACCCCCTTCCTGTCGACGCCAAAATGCCGCACAACCAACAGGTGCGGTGCTTGCAGTAGTAGTTCAGCGATAGCGATGAAGGTGCTGTTGCTGCCGTGTACTACTGGCGGCGGCTGCTGCTGCCTAAAACTGTATCGTACCCTTGGGTAAGAAAAGCAACCAAATTTAAAGCATCTGCCAGTGGTGTGTGGTGTGAATTTCGAGCGCCGCCCGCCGGCTCGGAGCTTCTTTGTCATTTCACTCCGAGTCCGAGTGGCAGCTTTTGCGCGTTTGTGGTGTTGGTGAAAATGGTGATAAGGAGTACCTTGACCACATATAATGTGAATATTGCTCACAACCAACTACCGATATGGAACGCTGGGGCATCACAGCATAGCTATCTGCGTGCTGCCAAAGATGCGAGTTAACGCCTTCACGATTCAGGCCTTCCGCCCCCTAGCAATTACAACACACCATTCCCAAACGATCGACCATTGCAATTCCTATCTCAGCAAGCCGTTCACTCTTTTCAACTCCTACTGTTGGATTTTTCGCGCTTCCTTTCGGCTGGACTTCTCTCGCCCTCCAACACGACGCCGTGGGATGATGGCACAACAAACCAAAACTAAACTTTGGTATCTACACAGGGCGGCGTCACCAGTTGTATCGTTCGAAGAGCTCGCCAGGATCTTGGCGGAGGAGTGGGACAGCATGCCTGAGGAGGCCAAGACCCCGTACCGACAGAGGGCTGACGAAGAACACCTTCGACACGAGACAATGAGCGCTGCACTAGCCCTTACACAGGTCACCTCCGTTGATGAAAAGCTGCTGCTAAACTGACAAGTTCACTCTGTGTGACTGTTCGAGCACATAGCGTTGTTGTGCAGCGTGGATGGCTTGATCCCATGTGGCCCGGTGGGAAGTCAGCAGTAGACTGGAACTAGTGCAGGCCATGTGCTGACGTACGCCTCCATGCTACCTACAATGGTTTGCGTCACCGAAGATAACATCCGTTACTTTCGGAGTGAAAAACTGTCCGCTGCGCTATTCATGAATGCTCCGTTACCTTGTATGATCGAGTAGGTTCAAGTTTAGGATGAATGCGATGCCGTGCGTTGATGACCTTAACAAACATGGTAATCTATGTGATCATATTGCCGCGGTGAGGAATTACTAATGTACCTCCTTATGCTCCGTGTAACTCTAAAGTCAAGTGATTCCAATCTTGGAAGCACATCGTGATGCTTTCCCCTAGTCTAGTAGTCTTAGGGGAGGCAAATAAAGTACATCGCTCCCCTCCATCGATCGTCCGCATCATATGAGGATATTCTTTCCGAAGCAATGGACAAGAACGACGACTCGGATTCGCATTCACTCCTTTCCAAGGTGTTGTCGGCGGAAGAAATCAACATGAATCACCCAATATTAGTATTTCTCCCCTAAACCCGGACATCCCGTCGATCGCTTTTCCATCGCCCAGATCGGAACACCGTCTTTCCCTTCTGGCCCTACAACCCCGGTGCTCCCGCCCGGGAAGAAGGCCAGGCGCTGCCTGGATATCGGCACACCCAACTGGCAGGTAAAAAGTCGCGGAACGGGAGAGTGTAGTGGGGCAAGGGTGTTTGTTGTTGCTGGCTGCCCTTGCCCAATTTCGGGGTGTAAACGTGATTCCCTCGGTCTTATTGTTGGTTGTGACCCGGCTTTCCCGTGGTCAGGACTGCGCACTAAAACGTTTTATGACCATTACCAGTAGGTTTGAGTCTAATTCTGCACAGTTGAAGGTGTGTCAGTGTTATCGCGAAACATTTTCTAACGCTGAAACGAATTTTTCCTGGGGATGTCGAGTCTTTGGACCCCGGTGATGGAAACCGGTCGTTGTGAGCGGCATCTGATATCCGCCCCTGCTATCGACACAAACTAATCCTACGTCCTTGACGGCGCACTTTCACTCCTCCACCGGTACGACAACGAAATCTTCCCTGCCCCTCGGGCTTTCTCGAATCACCGATCTCGCACTGATACATGAAATGGGTGCCGCCCCGGCCGGCCAGTCACCGAGGCTCCCTCCCCAGGACGTTTGGGACTCCCCTCTCGGCCACGGAGGGTGCGGTTTCGTCCCCAACCTTGCGGGGCTGCCGGCAGCAGACGACCCAGCCGGCCTCCTCTCCGAAGGCGGCGCCGCGAACAACGGCAACGGGAACGCCACCGCCGCGCCGCCGTCATCCACGGCGACCCCCTCGAGGTTGCCCCCCTGGTCGCCGCCCCCATTCTCCTTCTCTTCTCCCCCCAAGTCGCTATCGCACAGAAGTTCTGACGTGGTACGCAGACGTGACGACGCCGGAGCGGTCGCCGACGATGCGGCGGCGGAGGACCGGCGCACTCGTGCACGCAGTTCCGCGAGTGCCCCGCACTCTGCTGCTGTTGCTCCTGCCGGTGGTGGTGCTGTCGAGGCGACCCCCGAAAACGTTGGCGATGGCCACAGGAATGCCGGTTGGCCGATGGGCCTGGTCGGACTCACCGTCCACCCAGCGGCGGGGACGGTGGCAGCTGTTGACAAGGATGGAGGTTGCCAGTCGCCCGAGGTACGCATACGTCCTGTATCGCCACAAGAATATTGAGTAGTCTTCCACAGTGCTTTGGTGAAAGAAGAACCTCGGACCCCCGTTGACGTAGCCCAGCCACAGGGTCGTTCACCCTCCTCTCGCTCACATTGCGCAAGGAATCGCCGTTGATTTCGTTTGATCCTCGCCCCGTTAGGATCACTGATGCACCAACCCTGACAACAACGGCAATCGCATCCTAGGCTAGCCCCTTTTCAAGCTGTTTAGCCTGAACGTGCAAACCCGGTTCCTCGCCGGGTTCGACTACTAATTTCCTCTTGCCAAACCTACACTAGTGAGCAGTTGAAGCCCTTGGGACGAGAAGGAAACTACCAAGCATCAACTCCAACTCCGTGCCCCTTCTCAAAGCCTTAACTACCCTTGTTCTTGCTTCTTTCATCGTAATCTCTAAATTCCCTGCTCGGTTGTCGTATCGCCGGCGGCGTCTCAGACCATCTCGCGGACCGCCCTCCAAGGAGAAGCATCGAAGAAGAGCGCCGCCGGCGAGAAACGGAAAACCTCTTCCTTGTCGTCGTCTTCCACTTCCGCCGCCGCTGCCGCTTCTCCTTGGTCGATCTCCAAGAAACTGCTCGAGGAGCGGGCTCGAAAGGCGGAGTACAAGGCTGGGAGGGAGCTGGTGTCCAAGATGTCCAGGAAAGACTCTGCCAGGCGGGTACAGTTGTAGTACACCGGGGACACGTTGATGCGTTCGTTCCTCAGTGGGGGACACGCAGCGTATCCTAGGTGCATCACGCGCGTGCGTCAAAAGAGTTGTCGTGCACAGCGTATTGCTCGTTTGCACCGTTGCTCCACCGTAACCGGTGTAGGGTAATCATAGGTGGAGTAGACGTGCAATGTGGTAGGTGGGTTTGATCAGCCGAAGAGGGGGATCGTGGCGTGCACCATTTATTCAGTCCCTCACTCCCCCCCGCCCTTCCTTGGTAGGCCTTTTCTGTCGAGAAACGTTTAACCTTGCCGGGTGCGATAGCCGATTTCGAGGAAGTAATGTGCTTCACCCTGCGTCTGTGCGTACTCGAAAAAGGGTACCTTGGTGATGGATAGCCGACGGTGCTTCTGTTTTCAGCGCTAATGCATGTCCGAAGGCACAGGTTCCAAAATCTCCTACCCCGCTGCCGCCTCTATGGTCATGGGCACACCCTACCGCATGTTCTTACATGGTTTTCGTCCCATCCGTGTGCCCACCTTGATTCACCCATGCAGGCCAAAGGGTCCTCAAAGTTCTTATATCGTGTTCTACACAGAGAAGATGGCTTCGTTCAAGGCGGCTAGGCCCGGCATGAGCATTACGGTGATGTTTCCCTGCTGATTCATACCTCTATTTCTTCTACCGCTTAACGCGTAATTCTCTCTTCCGTTTTTATCGTGGCGAAGACTTGAGAGCGCCGCGTAAACCTTCGCTCTGTGTGAGGCGAGTGTTCTACCGACGACTCAGAAGAAGTGGGTAGAAAACAGTAAGAAGGATGTTTTCCGTGGCCGCCACGCCCGCTACTTTACATTCACTCGGAGGAGGCCGACCGGTGATGGCCTCAAAATGGTGCAACAGTTTCCTCTGTCCTATTCGTTTCATTGTCGCTGTAACTTGGGTGGGAAAACGCCAACGCTCCTGCCTTACAGACCAGTGGTACCGCTTGTTGTGTCGCTTCTGGTACGATTTGCGGTCGCGAGGCATTGAAGTAGATCAACTTGTTGTCTTCGTTGATGCCCGCTGCACAGGATATCGCAACAGCGGTCGGCGAGGCCTGGCGCAGGCTGTCCGATGAGATGAAGCTTCCCTACACGAAGAAGGCCGAGGCCGATCGCAAGCGCTACGAGGACCAGCTGCGTGCCATCGCACGTAGCGCCGCTACCTCCGCCGCCACGACAACGACCGGCGCCGCCCCCACTGCCACCATCGCCCCTACCTCGTTCCTTCGCAATGTCTGAATGAACGGTCCGTTTGCTGCACCTGAGGGCGAAATGGTGTCACAGGGTATGCTCTCCTGCCCGTATTGGTCAGCGGGGGGGATGTTCTAGCAGCTGCACGGGGGTGATTCCTACGCCGCCCGCCGGTTGAAGGGCCAGGCGCGGTCAGAGGCCACGGATCCCTTCTTGTCTCAAATGACGGAATCGGTAGTCGCCCTGTTATGATGTCTTTCGCTTCTGGGCCTCGTGTGGGCCAAACAATGGTGTCTAGCCATCCTGCCGGGTGAGCCGGCGTATGTGTCAATGCAGATAGCAATCCTGTAGGAGGCGTGTCGGAAAAAGCCCAATCAACGGTTGCGGGAGGTGGCCTGGATGAGAGGTGTGTAACTTGGCGTCTACATATCTCACTTTTCCCCGCCGTCAACCAGCCAGTGTAAATAGCTATGCAATCCGAGCATATGTAGAAGCAAGAAGATACGAGAACCGAACGTCGATAGAACCCACGAGCAAAACAATCGCGAGCAGACGCAGCGGGATCGCGGGTAGTGGTTCGAGACGGCAGCAGTACTCCGACCACCTTTGCATAGGTTCTAGGTACGATTATAAGTGATACCCAGCCATTACAAAGGGGGGGAGGGGGGGGGCAAGGAGGCGTCGACTACAGTAGTAAACTATATGGTTGAGGGGCGGTGAAGTTGGAGTCATAGGGGTTGTGAACGTTTGATGCCCTTGGGCGGTGGAAACCGCATAGAATGAGCCTCCCGCGATGAAGCTCCAAGCGCGGCACGTCGTCAGGACAACCGTTTAGGAATGGAAACGATTATTCTTGCGGATATGGTACGGGAATAGTCTGGAAATACTGGTCTTGGACGGAAGAGGCAGAGGCCACGGGGAAATGTGTTGCACAGCACATCTGTCGGCGTTCGTACTTTGTTTTCCTTGTTTCCGGCAAATGTTTGGCAAAGGCTCAGCAGGAGGCAGTAGTCTAGCGTGAAAGAGGTACAACTGTGGTAGTCGTCGTGAGGGTCGGCCGCCACCTTGCGTCAGGCTGAAGGTCGTCCCACATTTTCGGCGACAGCCTTAGGTGATAACAGATGTTATCCACTTGAGCCGCAAACGTGAATAGGCACGGGACATGAAAAAAAGCGATTGAGGACTACATATTTGCTGATCCTCTATGTGCTTGGAAAGCTGACGCGTGAATTACAGAACCTGTGTGACCCTTATGGTAAAAGATCTTCGGGTGTGATGGGGATGATGATTGTTTCTATTGTTGTTGTTGTTGTTGTTGTTGTTGTTGTTGTTGTTGTTGTTGTCTTCACAATAAAAACCGTTCCGGTCTCCGCTCAGTACCTTCCAACGTCCGTACTGGTCCAACTGACGCGGACGCTTTCCGTGGTCACAAGCGAACTATGATGGGACGATGAAAACGATGCGTAGTGCAGGAGATGTGTCGAGCTAGAAATTGAAACAACTCAGACATGTGAGTGAGTCCGCTGTGGCTCTCCACCGCCTCTCTGTCATCGAACGTCCACGGTACGGATGTGTGTCCCGCATTACAGAGGAGTTTTCTTCAAGCCGATCGGTACACACACCTCCGTGCACGATAAATGTAATAGGTCTGTCGGAAAATTCTCAGAGGATCAGTATATGCATGCCGCCTGACGAATGGCAAAAACAAAAACATGCCAAATCAATGACGGCGGTTATCTACCTCCGTTTTTTCTTGAGTTCCCCCGCGTTATTCTTTTTCCGAGGGCCCTTCCTTTCCAACACACCCCTCATTCCCCGATTTACCTCGTCGCCTGCGACGTCTCTACTGTATGTGCCTCAAGGCGAGCCCTCAAGGCGAGCCCGAGCACCCAACTCGCACGCATTGGTTTACCCTGTGATGCCTCTGCAAACTTCACTGTCAGTTTTGTCCTATCCGTATCTGCTTTGCCTCAAGTTAGTGTAACAGGAGTGTGCCGCCGTCGTTGTACATCGTTGTCGCAAAGAGTGCATTGTGATGGGTTGGATGTCTTCTGCAGAAGTTCACATTTACGTGGGAGAGAGCGTGTGCGGAGCGTTGTTTCGCTGCTGTAATAGAGATGAGCCGCATCACCAACCTACAGTACATGTACCTTAGCAGAGAGAGAACAAAAAAATGTGGGCGAGGGGGGAGGAGAAATTGCGTGAAGCACTCTGAATATTGACACATAAGTGAGTGTGAAGCCAGCATGTAATGTGTGAATGCATCGAGAAGGAACGCAACATAAAAACTTAGGGGTACATGTTGTGAGAGCGCGAAGTCCGCATACAGGGTACGGCATGGGAATTTAGGAAAGCATGAAAGGCTCTTCAATATTTACAGCTGATGGACTACGCGGTTCAAAATCCACATTTCGGCAAATATCGGTCCCGCTGCGATGGCGCCATCGAGGTCGCAACACTCTTGTGGCGGAACGTCTAACCTCACACAATAGGCCGGATGGCTGATTGATTGTCGGCAAGTCAAGAGCTCGAAAGCATATTGAACAGGGTATGACTCGAGTCCTCCCTCTGCCGGTCAGGTGTCATAATTCGGTCCGGAAGTTGCCTGTGCCCGTTTCTGGAGGCTAATCTGCAGCGAGGTCGTTGGATGCGCTGGAAAGCACCTTCAGGCAAGAGAGCGTTCAACATAATTTGATATCTGGACAATAACAGGGGACTGCAACATGCTGGAAGACTCGACCTTTGGAGCGACCTAATTGTACGTTTTTGTATGTAAGTGGGAAACGAAAAAGCAAACTACTGTACTCTCCGTAGGGCGTACAAAGATGCGCCCGGAGACACAGGCAATGCGATTGACTTTTGAGTTCGGAACAACCTCCGCTACCGCTAGAAAAATATAAGAGATAAGCTATATATTGGACAAATATATTCGCGCAGTACCTCAAATAAGAACAGCGTGAAAGATGCGTCGCAACCAAGCTGGTGCTGGATGAGCATGTCTTCAAGTTCTCTGGCGGTCCAAAGTACCGAAAATGGTACATGACCCCAAACGTTGGTGGTACACCACAGACAACCTACCAATCGTTCTTCTGGGCACGGTGAAGCCAGCCAATGGTGAGCACCCCCGGCCCAGACGAGAGAGAAAGAGAGAGCACGGAAGCAGACGCGCTTACCGAAGACGCACAATATCGCCAAAGACTTTTTTGTGAGAGGTGGTTCAAGGTGGTATCGTCAAGATGGAAAGCCCCGCTCACTCAGCAAGAAACAAAAAAAAAACAATTGGGATGCATCGGACGGACCCTTTTTGTCTGTTCAACCGCCCCGTTCTGCGGGCAACACGGACAAGACCGACTCTTGGCGGCCACAGACGGCGGCATCTCCTCAAACTCGGGGAGGGGTGATGATCTGCGATTCCCCACCGAATCATACTCGAGACTCCGCGACATTTGCATTGTAGCTCGGGATCAGCATTTCGGGCCGGGTCAGGCAAAGGATGGGGGCGTCGAATGAAACATGGATATTGGTCTGAAAAGCTTCAGAACTTCACACCTGGATAACGCAACGAGCGGTTTCGCTGACGCATTGGACGTAAACACGTTCGGCCTCGTGGAGTGCTCGGCTGAAGTGCTCGGCTCTGCCCTCGGATAAGTCCCAAAATAAAGAGACCGAAAACCGGATTCTGATCATGGGATGTCTCGCTTCCTCCCTATCCGATCAAGTAGCATGATCCGGGTCGGGAAGGTTTTCTGCCCCTTTCGAAAGGCTGCTTCTCCAGCAGCTACGAGCGGGGAGGAAACCCTCGAGAGCACCTTCAGGCAAGGCGTCGTACAAATTGTTTGTACACACTATCCCTGTGACCCCGTCTCTCGCCTGCTGTGATGTTCGCGATCGGGGACCTTTTTGTGTTCTCTATGAATGCGTCCAGAGAACACGGTTCGTATTGGCAATCGTAACCTTTGCGTATTTGTTTTGTGGCTTTTCCCGGTTGTTACTCGCTATTGAACATCGGATGCTACGTTGTTGTTGTGGATGGCTTATCCGAATCTGCGGCGTTCTACTGCTCTGCGGTTGGGTTCGTTGGGTTTGTTTGGCGATTTGACCCAACTTGGTCCCGTCCGGTTTCACTGCGCGTTGTTGAGGTTGCAAAGCCTGGGCGTCTGCCGTCACAATATTGGGGATAGCTCCAAGTGAGATTTCACAGTAATTATTTCAATGTGCGTGTACTGTACGTGTGTATATTTTCGCTATTCTTGTTTTTCCCTCGAGTATGGTCTCCAGGCGCCTCGACACTCACGTCAGCGCCTATGTACCTTTGTCTGCGCCACGTACTGCCTCGCATGGGTCCCTGATGATTATCCTTGTGTCTTTGTCCGTTCACGTCTGTACTTGTTAGTATCGTTGGTGCGCTGACATGGGACCAACGCAAGATTTCTTCCATCTATGGCTGTTCGGAGCAAAGTGGGTAGAACGTCATGGCCCACTTCATTTCTCGTTTCCGAGCGCCGACCTCAGTTGCCACCGTTTGCCTGGCCGTCCTCCCTGTCCTCCTCTCTTTGTCACTATCCCCGACTTTCCGTTCACCACGTAATCCTCGAGTACAGTGCTCGTGCCGTCGCTCACGTCGACGAAACCTTGCGCCAGGCAAATGCCAATGATTCGTGGGGAGTGAGTAGAAGCACGTCTCCGCCCGCACGAAACTTCTTCTCCATCACTACCGTAGAGGGGGTGGAGCTCGTCAACGTCTTTTGCACCTGCCGTTGTGGGAACGTGCGACTTCCATATGCTATGTTTGGCCTTCCGTCTGAACCGAAATTGACTTTGCGAGCGAACCACAAACACCGGCCGCAACCCTTCGCACGCATAGCACTTCGAGCACCATGTTCGCCGTCTCGGTTGTGGTTGGTTGAGATTCGGTCGGCTAATGAGGTTGTCATAGATTGAACGGCGGCTCTTGTCGGTCCACGGTACTCACGAGCACGTTCTTTGTCACCGCCGGAGGTTGCACTTCTCCGTACACAGAAAAATTGTGGCTGAAGAGGTCCACGCCG